ATTCTCTTTCCTCAACCTCCCGAGTAGCTGGGATTACAGGGCAACCACCACAACGCCCAGCTATTTTTTTGTTGCAGTTTGACTGGGGATGGGTTTGAACCTGCCACCCTCAGTATATGGGGCCAGTGCCCTACTCACTGAGCCATAGGCACTGCCCTAGATCCTAGGTCTTTTTTGCTGAGCCCCTGACTAGGCTCTCCATCATTCTGAGCAACACCTGCAATGATGGGAGTTGGCATTCAGGATACACCCTGTGCTGTTTACCGTCCCTCAGCCCACACTGTCATTATATCACTATTTCTTCCTCCTCTGTCTCACAGTCTTTCTTATACGTGATAAGCGGTTCCATCCTTTAGTTATGAAGTTGATCCTGACCTGCCATCAGAACCTTTATTCATGCTGGCGGTGGGAATTCCTGGGGCTGTGTTGGGTTCTGCCATGGGAGGTGACTGGTTAGAGTTGTCTTCTTTTGTGGTCTTGACCCAGAGTTTTGTCTGTGAGACTACTAGATCTAGAATCTAGGTTTGACAGATTCAGTGAGGCAAATAATACAGTGCTGCTTTGAAATCCCAGCCTCTTGTCAGTCACAACCAGCTGTGTACATGAACTACAGAAAGAATGTTGCCCATATGAAGAGTCTTTTGCAAAGGATCAGGCTAGCATTTACCAGTAGAATGGAGGAAGTGCTCTGTGTTCAGCTGTTCCATTTCACATGATCCTTTTGCTTCTCTCTCCTCCCAGGAATGGCGTCATGCTCATGGCATGAGGTGTTTGGGCATCCCAAACACTGCCCACTTTGCTAATGTGACACAGATTGAAGATGCTGTCTCCCGTAAGTAAGCTTTGTTTACTATTTCCTGGGCTAAGTAGCTACTCCCTACAGCTCATGTCCCAAATACTATACTCTGGTGTATTCAGACCCAAGAGGAGTCATTTGGGACTACTGTGGCGATTCTCCTGCCTCAGCCTCCTAAGTAGCTGGGACTACAGGCACCTGCCACAACACCCGGGTTTTTGTTGTTGTTGTTGTTGTTGCAGTTGCCATTGCTGTTTTAGCTGGCCTGGGCCAGGTTCAAACCCGCCATCATTGGCATGTGGGGCTGGCGCTCTACCCACTGAGCCACAGGCACCGCTCTAGATCTTTTTTTAATAATAGTTATTTACTTTGTTAGGAATTTGTTTAGAAGTTTTGTTTATGAATTTATAATAAGTAAGATGAGCTTTTTTTATTGCCCTTTGAGAATAGTGTCTTTGTCAGATTTAGTGATCTAAACCATATTGATGGCCAGGTACAGTGCCTCAGGCCTGTAATCCTAGCACGTTGGGAGGCTGAGGTGGGAGGATGGCTTGAAGCCAAGACTTTGAAGCTGCAGCTTGAGGGATAGAGCAAGGCATTGCTTTAAAAAAAAAAAAAAAAAAATTCATGAGGTAAAATGGATGAGATTTAAGGTTACAATCTCTTGTTGTTTGAAATTGTTTATTATAGGGTGGCTCCTGTGGCTCAAAGGAGTAGAGTGCCAGCCCCATATACCAGAGGTGGCGGGTTCAAACTCGGCCCTGGCCAAAAACTGCAAAAAAAAAAAAAAA